TTTTTCATTCTGGTATGCAGTTTGTAGAGCAGTCCAAATCTCTCTTGGCGACTTCAGATTGCAGTAAAGATCATAGAGTCGATCTATCAAAGTATTCAGAATATGGCCGCGACACAACAGTTCATCATGTTCTTGTTTCTTCCTTTCTTCCTTGACTACGTCAAAATCTTCTGTTGTGGGCTCAGGCATCGGAGGCAAGGCAAAATCAAGAACATAGAGCGGACAACAAGAATATCATCTTGTCTCTCCAACGGGTAAAGTTCGTTCCATCAAAGCGATCAAGTTTGATGAACGCCTTCGGAGTCTCAACAACAGACATCAATTTTTCCATAGCAGAATAACTCTTTAAGATTGTTAGAAAATAAAATAAACAAAATTGGCTTTGAGGCGTGAAAATCGACTGTCCTTAAAGAGTTATCGCTTGTATACTAATTTAGGAAAAATACAAAACGATTCTCTTCAGGATACGACAAAGCCTGCAATAACACTTGTGATTTTTCTATACCATTTCGTTGGAATTCTTGTGTATTTATAGGCAACCAACAGACCCTTTTAGAAAAGATGTCTTGTTTCACTAACAGACACGACTATTTATTCGAATTTTGAATTTAAAATTCAAATAAATTTGATTTTTCTGTTAAAAATAATTAACTTTAGGATCTCGTGCCTGTTGAGTCAATTTCGTACCTGTTGAGTCAGTCTCGTACCTATTGAGTCAATCTCGTGCCTGTTGAGTCAATCTCGTGTCTATTGAGTCGATCTCGTGCCTGTTATGCGTTATTTCATAATGATCAGTTCCGAGGCTAACATGCACGGTACGAGTAAGAAACGTCCCACTTCCAACTTGTCAATAACAAACTATCTTACATCAACAAGGTGATCATTCTGTACCATCATGTCCCTTAATATAATTATATCTATTGATCAGGGTTAATTAAAGTTGTTTTATTTCTTGTTTTGTAGCCGTATTAGTACTTTTTTTTTTAGTTTAGTGATGTTTGAAAGTTGGATTCATTTGTTGTTTTATACTATGTAGAAATTTACTACCTATTAAATGAGTGAGATTTTAGAAATTCCCTTCATTTTATTTTATATCGACACAGTATTTTAAAAAGACATTTTATACATACTAATACAATCCTTACTAGGTTTTAGTGGGCAATATGCTATCTTTGGTATTTTCCTTTGGCGGTAACCAGAAATTTCAATTCCAGTATTACGCTATCATTATTCTTCCACATGGATTCGTGCTGCACCTACACTACTTTTTTATTTTTGAAGTTGTCACTTATAAATTATTTAACGTGCTCATTTTTCATTTAACATGTAATCAGTTGAATAAGCTCGTCATTCATTAGTTTGAATTTGTATTTTGTGCTCCTTCAAATTTCAGGAAATTATCGTACACAAGTTTTTTACTTATTTATAAAGTTTCAAAATTTTGTATAAATTGATATGCACGTGTCCAAAAACTAATTATGTCAAATCCACGAACTCATTAATGGATCCGCCACTATATATATATATATATATATATACATCACTGCCTTATGTCTCTTTAATTTCTCTCCCTTTTTTTTATTTCTTCTGGTTTGGTTTGTTACGCGACTTGCTCCATTGCGTTAATGTCTTTATAAAAAGGATGCACGAACGAAATAATGGTAAGTTCTCTGTAGACATGTAATTTTTGAACCTCCTCAAAATTTTACACTTTTTAGTGTTTAGATATTTATTTTTGGTCTAATATTGTCATTTTAACTAGTTTTGACTCTTTTGCTTTATTTTATCACAAAAATAAAAACTACAAAAATACTTTCTTTTATTTTAGCTAATTGATATTTATCTAGTTACTTTTAGTTTATCTTACTTTTCATAAAATTAAAAAATACAAAATTGATATTATATATTTACTTACTTTAGTTTTAAAGTTATAGGTTTTAGTATATATTGAATAGTATTTAAATTTTATTAATAAAGTAACTTTTATGCCTCCTCTTGATATTTTCCGTTATCCTAGATAAATTAGTATTTTATGAAGTTTTTATTTTATTTCATTTTATTATCCAACTTTAGAAGATAAGAAGAAAAAATGAATGAAAAAAAAAGAAAGAAGCAAAGAACGTGAAAAGCAAAAGGAAAAAATCAAAGAAAAGGAAAAGAAGGTGGAAAGAGAATCAGATAATTGTAGTTGTATGTGGCCCCCTATATTTTATCCTTTCCTTAATTCTCTTATTCTTCTAAATTGATTTTCCTCCCTAAAATTCACGTGCTCTCCTTCCATCGTAACAGAATTTGATTCTTTTTTATCACAATTTTAAATTGATTCCTTCTGCTCACACATTCCTTCCTCTCCAAGTTGAAATCCCTTTTCTTATATATAGATCCCAGCCGCAGAAGCCACCGTCCTTCATCTCTGTTCCGCCGGTCAACCACCAATTCGTCTCCTTCACCACCGAAAACACCATAACCATATTTTGTTCCTGTTTGTCTCTCCAAAAACAGAGCAACAAGGCTCGATAAGTTACGCCGGACAACTCCGAAAGATCTGAACGCAAAGTTTTGGTTTACTCTTTGTGCGTCGGTACTCTCTTGTTTGAGTAGGATTCGAGTTCGTCGGCAAGGTTTGAGTTTCTCCTGTGGAGTTCGATCAATCTGCCACCTGTTCGAGGTCTCCATTCGATTTTCCGGTCCAAGCCACGTTCTTCAATTTTGGTGGAGATCTAGTTGGCTATTCTGTCCCATTGCGTTGCCAAACTATCAAACAATTAAATTTCAGGTTCATTTGAGGTCTATTTCTCCCTTATTCTGTTGTTTTGCTTAATACCGTGCTTTCCTTTGTTTCGCTGATTGTTGCTTCTCTATCTTGTTGATCGTTTGAGTTGATATTTTATTGTTCTGTTTGGGGTGTCTCAGTAATACTTGTGTACTCGGTTTCCTTCTATTGATCATCGTTTTTGTTGTCGTTTTGTTTAATCTGTTCGGGTGGGTTTTGATGCCTAAAAATGAGTTTCTAATTCTTTGTTTCATTTCGAGATAAAATGTTTAAGGCCTCATAGTTACTACTTTGATGGCAAAAAATAATAATTAAATTAACATAATCAAGTAGATTGAATGGAAGTTGTGGGAGTTGGCTTTTAAAACGTGGAGGAAATTGAGCTCAGATAATTTTATCGCTCTTTTATTCTTACTCTCATGAGTTTGATTGAAAGTAGTATACTTAGGCCGACCACACTTCGATAAACAAACTTTAGGCCTTTTCTTTTCTTTTATGTGAGTGTGAGGAGAGGTCGTTCCCTTTAGTTTATATTCCGTAGACTTTGTAAATATTTTTATCCGAAAATGCCCCGAAGCACATGTAATTGAAGACGGACGTTCCTTCGAGGAAGCATTAGTATATGCTAGTTTAGGACTTTTATTTCCTTTTTTTCCTTTTTAGGTGGGGACAAGCTAGAACCTCTTTGTGTTTTTTTTTTGGGTGTGTTTTACCTCAATATTCTTAAAAGCCAATTTGATCAAGTATGAACCCTACTAGTTACGGGATTCGATAAATGTCTAACATCTTCTACCCGAGTCAAATGGATCTCTTAGAATTTCATGTGCAAACTATGTTTTAGAGTCAAAATATTTTTAAGGGAAAATTGTTTTTAAAATGGTGACTTGGCACACCAGATTATATGTCAAGCGGCGACTCTCAAAATCCTTTGAAACACAATTTTCGTCGCTTTCAAATTGAAAATCCCTTGGAGCTTTAAATTACTTTATATCTATTTTAAAAGGGGTTAAGGTAAAAAAAATAAAAATGGGGTGGGTATGACACTCTTATTGTTAATTAATTAGTCCTATTAGAGATCTTAGATAAGAACATTATAAGCTGAGGGGAGAAATTAAAAAATAGTCAGATTTACAAGTGGTCTCAAAAATAACTACAGTTCCAAAAGTAATCAAAATTTAGCCACTTTTAATGTAAAGATAAATCTGAATGAAAATATTGTTCAAAATTCGGAAAAATACTCCAGCATAATATACCGGTTCAGCATAATATACTGGAGTTTGGAGCACCGGTGCTTCAGTCTCTAGTATATTATACTGGAGCCAGCAAAGTATACCAGTCCAGCATAATATGCTGGAAGTTCATACACAGGTGCACCGAACTCCAGTATATTATGCTGGACCGGTCTCTGTTACAGTAAAGTAATGACTATTTTTCATTGACTTAGCAAATGCTGACTATTTTTGAATGACCAGTTCGAAAACTGGCTAGACCGTGTTATTTTAACTAAGTTGAGCATACATTGACTTTGAAACTTAAATATAGACCTATTGTAAAAATCTTTCTTTATACGATCATTGCACTTATTTATATAATCAGACATCTTTATAACATTTTCCGTAATAACTAAGTTTTCTTTGGAATTAATTTTTCATATATATATATGTGTGTGCGCGCATTAGTTATTCATCTGTTGACCATTTTAAGTTTAAATTATTCATTTATTTAGGTTAACTCTTCTTTCTTTATAGTACCTACAAAATTTAAGGAACACCTAACAAATAAAATATCTCTAACTATTAATTCTCCAAGTTACCAATCTACCAATTGCACGAGTTGCAGCGGGAGTACATATAACTCTGCTAGCATTTATTATAACTTACTCCCTCTAATCCATAATAAGTAAAAAAAAAATTGTCCAAAATAAGTGTTCTTTTACGTAATCAAGAAGGAATAAATGTTATTTTTCAAGATTTGCCCTAATTTACATATCTCAATATGTTAAGGTAACAATTAATTAAGGACAATTTAGTGAATACATTCTTTTTTCTTTAGGAGTTTGTATTTTCTTAATTAAGGAGTGTGCCAAAAGTTAAAAAAGTACGATCGGAGGGAGTAATGCAGGGGCATGCTTAAATGTGATGACATTATGAATATGAGAGTTAAATATTAAAAAGTAATCTTATTGTCCTATGGGATACTTGTTAAACACACAAGATAGCCAACTTCTCTTCTTCCCAATCATACGTCTTAACGAAAGTGTGATTAATGAGAAATAGTAGGAGACTGGCGGAACGTACCTTTAAAAGCTGCTTCTTTTTTGTTTGTAAAATTTAATATATATGGTGGTTTGAATATTGGTTGATTAAAACATTGATTAATTGCTATTTAAGTTTCATATAAATGCAAATTCTCTTAGAACATAAAATAACATCAATTTATCATGCAGTTATTATTGCTAAATTTATTACTCTATTTTGCATTTTGCACTTTTAGGATGAGACATATTATTTCTTCACACTTATCTTTTAAAATATGAAAAATTACACCTGTAACCTTATATTAAGAGGCCACTTTTACCTTTTAACCGTTACAATTAAGAGAAAAAAGTACTCAATTTATTTGACATCTTGCTTGAAATAATGTATACTGATATACAAGTTGTAAAGTTAAAAATTCATTTTCAAGTAATGAACAGGTGAGGTTACTTCCCTTATCCTTCTTAGTCAATCCAATTTGTGCAAAGGGTGTTCAAGTAAGTTCACATGCTTCTTCAATATAAAGTTCTCTTACACACGAGAAAAGGATAAGAAAAATATAGACTGAAAACTAAGCATACACCTAGGGATGTACAAAGAAAAATGATAAAAATTGCACCAAACCGATAATCTGAGTCAAATTAGAAAAAAAAAATTGGTTTGATTTGGTTTGGTATTGGAAAATAAAATCCGCCCATAATTGGTTTGGTTTGATTTTAACTAAAAAAACTCAAACCGAAACCAAACAAACTCGATAGTACATTTATATAACTTTTAAAAATATTTTATAAAAAATAAATATTTAATGTTATGTCGAAAATAAAACCCGACCATAATTGGTTTGGTTTGGTTTTAACTAAAAAAACTGAAACCAAACAAACCCGATAGTACATTTATATAATTTTAAAAAATATTTTATACATATAAATATTTAATGTAATGTAATTTATAAATATTTCTTAAACTTTTTCACGGTTTTATCTTTTAACGTATTATTTCAAGTTTAGACTTTACATTCTTGAATGGTAAATTGTAACGACCCGACTGGTCGTTTTGAGAAATTGTGCCCGGTTCGGCAGTTTGAGGTCTCGAGCAGCTTCATAATATGTGTATTGACTTCCGTGCATGGTTGAATTCAGTTAATGGATGATTCAGGGTCAAATTGGAAGAAGGAAACTAGCTTTGGAAGTTTAAACGGTGAGAATTTGATCGGAATTGGACTTTTGGGTAAGCGGCCCCGGAATGGGTCGTGGATGATCTCAACAGCTTCGTATGGTGATTTTGGACTTAGGCGCGCGTCCGAATTCGGATTTGGAGGTCCGTAGGGTAGATTGAGGCATTTCGGCGAAAGTTGGAAAAGTTGAAGTTTGGAAAACGGAGAAGTTTGACCCATAGTTGACTTTTGATATTTGAAGATTTGGAAATTCATAAGTTTGATTTTTGGTTTGATTCGTTGTTTTGGTGTTGTTTTATGTGATTTGAAACCTCGAGCGAGTCCGTCCTAGGTTATATGACTTATTTATGTGATTAGACGGGGTCCCGGGAGCCTTGGGTGTGTTTCGGATGGGCAACGGTTCATTTTTTCCTATGTTTGAACTGTTCTTTTGCTATCTGGTATTTCCTTCTATGCGATCGCATTGATTTGTCTGCGATAGCATAACACAAATTTGGACAGCAGCATTTTCCTTCTATGCAATTGCATTGTTTTGTCCGCGATAGCGTAACACCAATTTGGACAGCAACATTTTCCTTCTATGCGATTGCATTGATTTGTTCGCGATAGCATAACACAAATTTGGATAGCAGCATTTTTCTTCTATGTGATTGCATTGATTTGCCTGCGATCGCATAAAACATTTTGGGCCGGTAGCTATTTTCTTTTACGCGATCGCATCACGTCTCCCGCGATCGCAATGAACAAACACCTGGGCAGATAGAATATATTCCAAAATCGAGGGTTATACCATTTTCATCATATTTTGACTTCTAGAGCTCGGTTCTTGGCGATTTTTGAAGGGGTTTTCACGAAATTCGATTGGGTAAGTATTCTTCAACTAGAATTAAATATATTCCATGAATTTGGCTTTATTTTTATCGTTTAAATTATGTTTTGGGTTAGGGAAAGAGTTGGTTTTTGAAGAAAAATTTCAAAACGGAAAATCATGATTTGAGGGATAAAATGTTATCGGAATTTGATAAATTTTGTATGGTTGAACTCATTTTGGAATGGGTGATCGGATTTTGTAAAATTTGACGAGTTCCGAGGTGTGGTCCCGGGGTCGACTTTTGGGTCGATTTTTATATTTTTGTAAAAATTGAAACTTTATTATTCGGAATAGTTCCTTATTCAATTTATGTGTGTTTTGGAGTTGTTATAGTTGGATTTGAGCTGTCTGGAGGTCTTTTCACCCGAGAAGTTCATTTTAGAGTACCGGGTTGTCGTCTTTGAGGTAAGTATCTTGCCTAACCTTGTGTAGAGGACTTCCCCTTAGGATTGAGTCCTCTTTGCTAATTGTAGTCCGTGCATGCGAGGTGACGAGTGTGTGCTCGGACTTATTTGTGAGAAATATGCTCTAGGGTTCTTATGTCCTTATGTGGAAAGTATCCTGTTATGATTGGGTTTCCTAGTTGCTTAAATTGCTTCTATATGGTCCATATGACGTTGTTAGCTTTCCTCTAATTCTTACATGTTACATTGACCCTTAATTGCCTTAGTTGAAGTGATTGCCTTCCTTATTGTTTTGATACTTCTTGATTGTGAGTTCCTCTATGACTTCGTGCAAATATGTTACATGTCCAATTGTTGTAGTTGTTGGTGTAATTATCACGTGCTTATTATGTCTTGTTGTGTAGTTGGGGTTTCATTGTGAAGTTAATTGTTGGTACAAGTTTGGTTATAGCTGATTCCTTTACCGGGACATATTTAATTCTTACTATTTGTTCCCTTGTCGGGACATGTTTATTCTTGTTGTTGACTCCCTTGCGGGGATATTGTTGTTTTCTTATTATTCCTTTGTCTGGATTCTATCGTGATTGGTGTTGATTGGTACATTGGGATCGGGTTGCACGCCGCAACAATATTATATGGATCGGGTTGCACGCTGCAACATCATTATATGATTTGGATCGTGTTGCACGCCGCAACAGTAAAATATTTTTTGGATCGGGTTGCACACCGCAACAGTAATATATGATTGGGACCGGGTTGCACGCCGCAACAAGAAAGAATAAAAGTGAATATTGATTCTTATGGTGAGAACGAGAGTAAAAGCACGAAGGGTGATGTCGTGCACTTTCTGCTGTTGTGTTTATTTGTTGTTATCAATTCAAATGTTTAAAGTATTTAATTTCTTTATTGATGTGATCCTTTGTGTTAGAATCCACAATGTTTTTAATACTTTACCGTATTTATATATATTTATTTATACGTTCCAATACTTCAAACTTCAATAATTGTTACATCCTTAATTCAATTAGTTTCTCAATCATATCCCCTTAAACTGTCTAAGGTTGTATTTTTCTTAAAAGGGAATTTCTACTAAGTTTTAAGTTATCAACTCCCTTATTAAGAGTAATAATTCTTCCGATGTTGTATTTTAAATTGAAAGGGGTACTTTCTTACTCGAATGATTTCTAAAAAAATAACTTCATCTTTTCTCGCCGATTTTGCAACCTTATTTAGAAATTGAAATTTCATTTATATTATGTAAATAAGACTTCTTGAACATCTTAAGTGCATTTGTAAGGATATTTTGTATTGTATATCATGTGGACTTTGTTGTCAAGAGTGAGATGGAAAATATGTGGGCACGAGGTGCCATATGTGCTGAAAGTTTGAAAGTTGAGATTATAATATGAGAAATCGAGGATTGAAATGGCCGGGATGGTATATTAAACATGATATGATTGATTGAGTTGACATTGTTTTCTTTAATTGGATACATTCTTACTTGTCTCCGTCTCTATTACATCAGTGTTGAATTGCTTGGGTTATCTAATTTACTTGGTTTTCATTTGTTACCATCCGTGTTCTTCCTTTATTGATTGTACTATTTGTACTTGGATTTTCTCTCAGCGGTTGATATCACTTCGTTATCTTTATCTTGATGTTTTATTATCATATCTTGCTCATTTCATTTGACCAGTAGGTGTCCGGACTGTTCCTCGTCACTACCCCACCGAGGTTAGTCTTGATACTTACTGGGCATCGCCGTGGTGTGCTCATACTACACTTTTGTACATTTTTATGTACAGATCCAGGTGGATTGATAGTAGTTGTGCGGGTCGTTGCGGTGGAGACTTAAGGTAAACTTGTTGCAGCGTTCGCAGGTCTCAAAGTCACCTTCACTTGTATTTACTTCCATTTGCTCCTTTGTTTCGGGGCAGTGATGTATTATTTTTGTGAAATTACTCTTAGATAGGCTTGTGACTTGTACCACCGGTTTTGGGAATTTTGATTTATTCAGAGTTGGTTAATTTAAAGTTAGTAAGCATCAATGCTATTTCAGTTTATGTTAGGCTTACCTAGTTTAGAGACTATATGCTATCACGACTCCTTCGGAGGGATTTTTGAGTCGTGACATAAATAAATTTTAAAGCCCAAATGTAGTAACTCAAACAAAGTTCAAAATCAATACTAATGCTAACAAAAGAAATTCAATTTAATACTAAGAATGACGATAGTTTTGGATAACAATTTTAGTTTTATATTGGTTTATAATGAAAAAGGCATAAATTAGTTTATCTTTTTCTTTAGTACTTTGTTATGTAATTAATATTAGTACTTATTAGCTATAGTTATTTTAGCATGACCTATATAGTACTTTTAGATTATCATTATAGCTTATTAATTAGCAATATTTATTTTATGTTATTTTATTATTTTATCTTTGTTATTGAATATTTTAGTATAATACTATGACTTATTTCATATTATTGTGTTAGTTTCTTGAAAAATACATTATATAATTGTATTTTATTAGGATTTAAGAAATATTTGGAGCACAAGTTACATATTTTATGCTATAAAGACTTTACTGAAAAAAAATCCCGAAAATCCGAGAAAAATCGAGATTGAAAAACCCGACTTTATTTGTTTGGTTTTTATAAATTTAAAGACCCGACACCATTAGTTTGGTTTGATAATTCAAAAATTCGAACCAATACGATCTATATACGCCCCTACACACACCTATCATGTGAAAGATTATCAATAGTACATTTAAGGCGTAATGGTTTCGTGGCCACTCAAAGTTGTAGGGCTTTTGAAAGCCGATACACGAACTTTAAATTTTTCCATTTGAACACTCAAACTTTACAAAATGGGTACTAATAAATATTTTTGACCGTTTACCATGCCTCGTGGAAGCACTACGACTGACTTGGCTAAATTGTGTGCAAATCACGCTGCTAAGGCGCGTGAATAGTATTGTTTTTACTTAAAAAGTAGAATTAGAATAAAATATAAAGAAAAATGAAAAATGAAAAAGAAAAAAAAACTTTTCCCTTTCCCCTTCTCTTTTCCCCTCCCCTTCCAATTCTTTCATCTTCCCAGCAAAACTCCCACTCAATTTTTTCATTCTCATCCTAATTTCTCTTCCCCCTCCCCTTTCTCTGTTTTTTTTCTTCATCTTCCCCTTAAATATTTTTCTAGTCTCCACCCACTATTTCCGTCCCAACATTCCTCAACAACCAGTGGTCGGAAGAAAGCTTGAGCTTTGTCGTTGTTCTATCATCGAATTCATCTTTGTCAAAATAGTAGAAAAAAGGTAAATTTGCAATGATATTGGGCAACCTCCACTTTCAAAATCATGGATTTCTGTTAATTTTTTTTTAAATTCCAAATTCTTTTTTTTTTTGGTTATGATCTAATCATGGCCATGGCAATGTTGTGAATTTGATTTAGAAATAAGAGAGAAAGAATTATGAAGAAAAAGAGAAAGGAGAAGAAAGAAGAGTAAAGAAAGGAAGGGAGGAGGGTGAACGAAGAAGAAAGGGGCGGTTGGGTACAAATTAATATTGGGTATGTTTCAAGCGTTTTTTTTCTTTTCCTTTTTTGTATTTGTAACTATTTAAAAATGAGACTCAAAAATAACACATGACAAGTAATAAATAGCTTAGCATGGTGTGTTGTAAATGTTAGCGCAATTGATATACACCATCTGCTGGATGTGTTTATTATTACCCATTTTGTCAAGTTGAAGTGTTCAAATGGAAAAATCTAAAGTTCGTGTATCGGCTTTCAAAAGCCCTACAAGTTTAAGTGGCTAGGAAGCTATTACGCCTACATTTAAACCCATAAACTTTAATGGTTATAACTAATTATTATAAAAATCAGCACTTCTGTGGGAATTATTTCAAATAAAGATTGGTTCGAAAAATTAGAAAACCTAAAAAAGAAAAAGAAAGGGTTCGTTTATGTGGCGATAAAAGATGGAAGGCAAAATGGCCTCGGGACCTCTTAAATTTGCACATGTTTTTCAACCCAGTAAAGAAAGTTATAATTTTTTCATTTGGACACCTCAACTTGATCAAATGAATACTAGTAAAACACTTAGACTTGATTATGCTTATGTGGCAATGACATAGGTGATGTGGATAAAATATGTGCTAATCACACAGAATATGCGCATGAATACAATAATACGATTAAAAAAATACTAAAATCAAAAGAAAAAAATTGAAACAACAAAGAAAGGGAAAAAGGACCCCTGGGAGGCCAGTACGCCTCTTCTCCTCTTTCTGATCTTCACCGGTGACCTCCCCGTTTATCTCCCGTCATTAATTTCACCCCTTTTTAATCTAGTTCTTCTCATTCTCTTTCAAATTTTTGTTACCTTATTTTCTTATTTTTTTTCTCAACAAATAACAACAACAACCCAGTGAGATCCACATGTGGGGTCTGGGCAGGGTAATGTGTACGCAGACCTTACCCCTACTCCGGAGGAGTAGAGAGGCTGTTTCCGGTAGACCCTCGGCACAAGAAGGAAAGAAATAATGTATCAGTAACAGCAAAGGAATCCTAACAGATAACATCAGCAACGCAATAACCAGAAAATATGGAGCAAAGTATTAACACTAAGCATCAACGAAGGCACAATACTACAAACGCAAGGGAATAATATGTACATACAGGACCGCTAAACATACTATAGCCTAACTTTCGACCCTAAAGAAGTATTAAGAACACAACTAGAACCCCTAGCAGCCTAAAACAAGACACTATCACACTAGCCTCCTGTCTTCTAACCTACAACCTTAGTGTTCGACCTCCACAACTTTCTATCAAGGGCCATGCCCTCGAAAATCGGCATCCGCACCAAGTCCTGCCTGATCGACTCTCCTTAATATTTTATAGTGTTGGGAATAAACCCCATACAAAAATAATATTCACGGTAATAAAAGCGGAATAATAACATAGCACCGAGATACGGTAATTAACAAGAATAAAAGAGTAACAACGACACCAAGATTTTTACGTGGAAAACCCTTTTGAATAAGGGAAAAAACCACGGCCCTGAGAAGAGCAACTGATATCACTATAACAAGGAATTTTACACTTTATAGGTCCGAGTAAAATACTCAAAAGACCACTACAACACTCAAACGAAATAACCCTCTTTTGATATTCCCACTTCACTACAATATCACTCACTCTCTATTTTTCTCTCAGACTATTTTCTTATACCCTGTCTGTGAAACCTCACTCTTTCTTTCTAACTCTCAGATATATTTTTCCTTTGAGATTGGTGTATCAAAAATGAGAGTTGAAGCTCTCCTTTTATAGGTAGAACCTCACCTACTATACTTGACATTTTCTTTCTGCACGCCTACCACATTTGACACAATGTTGACTATGCAAAAGGAAAAGTGGCTGCCAATTTAAAAAGAAGACAAAGGAAGAAAGTTGTCTTCCTTAATTTATGGGCTGGACCCCATAAATCTCCCCCTCCAGTCTCATTCACCTGAAGGAGGTAACACCGGAAGTTCTAGTTTGAGTGTATGCCGACAAGTTCTTTGCATAGCTCAAACTTGTCTCTTGGTACCACTTTGGCCAGCATATCCGAAGGATTCTTACTTGTATGGATCTTCTTTACCTGCGTAGACCCATCCTCTATCCTTTTTCGAATCCAATGATATCTCACGTCGATATGCTTCATCCTTGCAAAATATATGGTGTTCTTGCTCAAGTCTATTGCACTTTGACTATCACAATAGACGACATACTCCTTCTGATGCAATCCAAGCTCTTGAAGGAACCGTTTGAGTCATACCATCTCTTTGCTAGTGTGACGACCCAAAGGGGTCATCACCTGTTGCTAATCGAATCCCGTGACTCCGAGGCCTTGAAAACCTCATTTAGGATTGCCTCGATTTGCGTGTGTAGTCCGGGCGCATAGCCGGAAAGCTTAAATATGAAATTCTGTGAAAAAATGCTAAGTTTTGATATTAAAATGAATAAATTTGGCTTCAGTCAACATTTCGGGTAAACAGACCCGGACCCATGATTTGACGGTCTCGGAGAGTCCGTAGGAAAATATGGGACTTGGGCGTATGCCCGGAATCGGATTCCGAGGTCCCAAGCCCGAGAAATGAAATTTTTGAGTGAAATTGTTTACTTGAAATAATTAAGGAAATTGGAAATAAAATTTGATTAGAAGACTATGGTATCAGGCCCGTATTTTGGTTCCGGTGCCCTTACAAGTCTTATATATGTTTTGAATCACTCCTGTAACAACAACAACAACAACAATGACGACCCAGTATAATCCCACAAGTGGGGTCTGGGGAGGGTAATATGTACGCAGACCTTACCCCTACCCCGAAGGGTAGAGAGGCTGTTTCCAGGAGACCCTCGGCTCAAAAAGCAACAGGAGCCGATATATTAGTACCATAAAAATGCATAATAAAATAACAGCAATACAAGAGATATGAAATACAGAATACGAAATACGAAAAAGATGGCTGATATAGTAAAACTAGCATGTAAAGTTTGGTTAAAAACGGTCGTCGTTTGACGTGATCCGGACCCTAATTGGGAAATTGATGTTTAAAAGGAAATTTGAGAAAAATTCATTGATCTTGAGGCTTGATTCGGTGTTCATGATTTTATATTGATGATTTGATCACACGAATATGTTCGTAGAGTATTTTTGAGGTAGTGTGCATACATGGGTTAGAGCTTCCGGGATGCTATAGACTTAAAAGATCAGATGTTGCAGGTTCATGAAAATATTGCACGCCTCTGAACCCTTTTGCGCGGCCCGCGAGGAATCGTGTGTGGCCGCGAAAAGGCCAGCGCGGTCGCAGTCGCCTTTGCACCGTCCGCGGTGGGTGCTGTGCGGCC